ACTTACACTACTGACCTTCGTTGAATCCAAGTAACCGAAAGCCTTAATCACCCACCAGCCAAATCTAACACCCTCTTACGTAAAGGTTACCTACCGTACGTTACACGAGATTTTGGATTGTGGAGCGACCGGGTCGCAGTTTTCCGAACCCAACAATAGTATTATCAACTTATGCTGATCCATCTTCTGAAGAACCTTCCTCGTTTAAAAATTCACCACCTCCAAGCATTAAAAGCGGAGTATCGCCCTATTCAGAAAGTATTAATTCTAGAGTAATGTCTCTTCAGAAAGTTTTAAGTTCATAACGTCTTCGAATAGTAGTTGCTTATTTATGAATGACCGGGCGATTGGTCTTGAAAATCGTGTTCAGCGGTTGAAAGAACTATTAAGAAATAAAGATGAACAGTTGAATCAACAAGCTGAAATGATAAACCAATTAAGCAAGATGTTGAATAGCAAATTTAAAAAACGAACAAGAACACACGAAATCTGGAAACATGTAAGCCATGTAAAATTTGTTTAAATAAATAAATCTGATATCATCAAGTTTATAAAAGTTATCTAACTGTTCATAAATTTCTAACAGCATGTGATAATATTTCTTTAGTTTAAGTCAATAAAGATAGCAAGTACTTAAACAGTAGGTTGACATAACTTAGTTATGAAAATTATGTTGAGTTTGTTTTTAATATAAACTGCAACTAGTGACAGTATTATCTGAAGAGATTGCTAAGCAAATCAAAATGCAAGACTCATAAGTAGTTTTAAAATGAAATAATAATCAAGTGAAATGTTAAATAGGCAATTTAAAAAAGCTGATAAAGCAACAATATATAAAGATTGGAAACATGTCAACCATGTCAAACATATCAAACAATCTTTATTTTATGCCAAATCCTTTAAAAGCATTTAAATGTTTCATATATAAATCTTCGTCTTGTAAAGATATCTTAATTTTGTTATTTGGCTTACATAAATTCTAAATAGAATGTGAATTTTTTTGTTCACAGTTGTCAAAACGCGATTAATGATTTTTCAAAAAATGTTACATAAAATTTAATTCAGATTCAATTTCTTAAGTATACGTACGTATCAGAGCCAGTGGAAATTAGTAGCAAACATAGTTAGTAAAATTAACATAATTACATCGTCTTCGTTAAAGTTATGTTTATTAAAATATAAAAAATTTAACCTTACAATACCTTTCTTTCAATAAGAGTCCTCATCTATTATCTAAAACATGCTTATAATTGAGAATGAACTACACCAAAAATAGGAATTCAAAAAAAGCTTTAATTAAATCAACATTAATTTCTTGTTGATTTGATATTTTGCCAGGTTCAGTAATTTGGTTTTGTCTTTTGTACTTATCAGTTTTTAAATCGGCACTGTATGAAAATCAATTAAAGATTTTTCATGTAACATTCAGATAAACTACTGCGGCAACAGAATAGTTTGATAAAATTTGGTATTTTTATTACTAGAATAGCTGCGAGGCTACGTCGTGCCCAAACCAGAAACGTAGCATATGAGTTCTTTTGACCCTTTAATGAACTTTTTTACCATTAAAAACATAAATAATATTGTAATTTGCAGCAAATAGTACCCCAGTTTCTTATATTCTTAGGTCTCAAAATTAATTAGTACCCTCTTTAAAACCGATAATTTACCATTTAATTCGACAACATAGACAGCAAATGAATACTTCAACAGAGGGCACTGTTTTAGTTCATCAATCAATTTATCATTAGGGTGGCTTTTTACACTACCTTAAATTTATGGTGTAGTTTAAAGTTGGCACTCGAAACGAAACCTACCCGAAACTAGTTTCGGAAGACTCTAATCCGAAACTCCGAAACCCGAAATCCCGAAACTATAATTTAAAAATTTTAAAAATTATAAATTAAAAAATATAAACAAAAAAAATTTAGACTAACAAAGTAATAACGGTAAGTAATAAATTAATCATCCTATTTATTTCAAATAGCTCAATAAGCGGAATATTTATTATAGCCAGAAAGTATTATAATTACGGTTTTTCTAAGTATTTGGAATATTCCATCGCCTTTTAAAATGATTATAATCCTCCAATTTATGCAATAACACAAAGTTTTTTTTAATACTACCAAGCCATTTGTTACTATTGTTTTCTTCAATCATTTTTTATTGCTGTATCCTGGATTCAAATAAATAATCAACGTTATAATCTACCGGAAGCGCATTAAAAATTAAATCAAGATTTTCTGGTTCATTTGCATTTTCTTGATTAGTTTTTATAATTCATTTCGATTTTCATTCTTTTTTCGTTTATTGTTGATGGAATTTGGTTACGGCAATCAAAATATAATTTTAGCATAGTGAGTTTATTGGATTTCATGCTTTTAATGATCGCTTTTCACTTAAAGGCTGTTTGAAGTTGATTCTTCTGTTAACATCACCCCCCAGCTGAAGGCTCCCCCGTGAAATGAACAGCAAATCAAAACACTGGATAACTAACTCTCACCAATTTCTTGATTTACATCGACCAATCAAATTGTCTCATATCTGTTCATTCTATATGTTCGTTTAATTTTATCCTCCTTCCAAGAGTTCTAAAAGTGATGTTAACCGAAAATTCAATTGTAAGCAGCCTAAAGAATCGAAGGAAAAAAATCACTTACTAAATATATTATGTTACTATTTTGATAAATATTATTATGCCCCAATCATGAACTGACAATATAATATATTTTTGGATGGCGATTTTACTCTGGTATACATTGATCATGCTGAAATCAATCATTTATCGAATCAGCAGAATACCCATTCGGCGGGTCCGTGTTATTTCACCGACAGATCATTTACCCGAAATCACACCAGGCGACAATTTACTAAAAATATATACCAGTAATAATAAAATGCTAATCTTGACCCTATGTGATGTCGGTCAAATGAGAAATGATTGTCGGCGAAGTAAACGGCACCGCCATTGGGCTAATTTTCATAAGGTGTCCCAAGAATAATAATAACAGCTGTAAATCCGAATCTAATAATTAAATCTAGATATAAATTATTAAATTCAGATCAAAGTCATTATAGAATTTACAATTTAGTGGTCACAGGTTTGTTAATCCACTTTATTTATTTATTTATTGTAAGATACAATTCTGTAACTATTTTGTATTATAAAAACTGGTTTAACCCAGGTTTGTATATATAAAAAAATAGTTTAGATTATATCTCTAATTTATTGTTATTGATTTTATAGAAATTTATTATTCCAATAGGGTTTCGGGTTTCGGATAAGGTTTCGGGTTTCGGATGAGGTTTCGGAAACTATAATCCGAAACCGAAACTTTCGGATTTAGCCAAAAAGGTTTCGGTGACCAACTCTAGTGTAGTTACGATAGATGTTTAACGTGAGTCAAATCATTTGACTATAAGTATATTTATAAGAAATGGATTTTAACGGTAAAAAAAGAGAAGGGTTTTAAGGTGATAAGATGGGTTTAACGTGATAATTATATTAGTTTTATTGATTTTGGGGTTCAGGTTAATAGATATGTCATACGGTTGACGTATACCTTTTTATTAGCATTGTGACTTTTTGTGAGGCTTCACTCAATTCGAAACACCAATTCTGGTGATAGGCTAGAAATTTTATTAAGAAGAAACTTTGAAAGTATTAATTACAAAAATGTTTTTTACTATGATAGAATATATCATTAAAAATTAATCTATTCAGATTCTTAATTCAAAAAAGTGGTTCTTTCATCTATATTTTTCTTCTTTAGACTTAGTAATATCTGTAAGAGTTATAAGATTGATAATATAATGTCTTTTTCTTAACATTTGTTTAAATTATTATGCTTACAGTTTTCTATTTTATATAAATTTGAAATATAGAACTTTTTAATTGCAATTACTGATTTAAAGGTAGTTAATTCTTCTTTCTACTTTCAGGCATTAATGAAGATATTTTAATTTATTTCTATCTTTTTAAATATGTATAAGCAAATTTGTGTAATATGAAAATACTATTTAGCTTGACAACCTTTAAGTATTGTCTAAGATTTTTTGCTTTAATATATTTCTTTCTAGATAATTTGTTATATCTGCCTTATTTGCAAAACAATATCCAATGTTTCTTTAAGATAATTGTTTGTTGGTTTATAATTATCAGAATTGTCTGGCAAGTTTTTTAGAAGTGGGTATAAAAGATTCTTTAGTAACTTATCAATAAGCATAGAATTCATTTTTAACTAAAAGAAAGATTTTGACAAACTCTTTTTTTAAATATTTTTTAATCTTTTTATTGATATTTCTAGCAGATGTTATTTATATTATTTTTTTGAAAAAGTATGGGTTGGTTTTTCCCATAAGATAAATAAAGATAAATTGTATTATAATTTTTTATCTTTTTAGAATTATAATTCGTTGGTTTTTTATATTTATTGGGCCGTGTAGATCAGCCAATACGGTTCGAACAGGTAACCTATAATTTGATGATAAACCAATTTTTTCAAATGTTTTTAGCGCAGGGGTTAAAAAAGAACCCATGTTAAAATTTGAAATAGGTTGTTGTATATAAAGAAAACTAGTTTAAGTTGTAAAGTATAAATGTCATTAAAGAAGAAAGTTCGTCTTTTATATGTGTTGCAACTTGCAGATCCATTAATTAATGATAATTTTTGTGTAATGTACTGCGAACTCCGGTCCAATACACAGAAAGTAAAATTTTATTCGTTAATCACTATGCTGGTCTTAACGACTTGGCACTGGGGGTGACCAATCATAGGATATGACAAATAATAATTTATTATAAAGGTTATGTAGTAAATGTTTATTTGTCATACCCTATGATCCCTATGATTAGTCACGCCCCAGTGCCAGATCAGGGTTTCCCTGCTGCATCACACATATATATATATGGTAAGCTTTTTTACCAATGAACTACGTCAGATTTTACAATAGATTTTGTGTTGGAATTAATAAATCTTACGTTTTTTTATGGCACTGCTCAGCCTGGCACGTTACGTAAGAAGGAAATACTTCAAATTTCCCTCGTTTTTTTTTTTAAAACATAAATATATATCTTATTTATTGCGCACTTGTTAGGTTCGGTTTGATGGCCTCAATGTATGTATCTCATTTATTCTAGCACTAATAAATGATTGCCCATACTGGGGGACAAGAGAACGTTTCACAATACCCATGCAAATGATCAGATGACACAAACATTATTTGTCGCCATGATTACCGTTACGTTAATTTTAGAAATCACCTTTTTTCTGTAAATGATTAAATCACATTCTCCTGTTATGATAAAATTCTTTATTCTGTTTTATTTTTTATAAAATGCTAAGCAAAAAATCATCACAATGGATCCAACAAGCAGTACAGGAACGTCATATAGAATTTATTCCTTATGATTCATTCACGAAACATGAAGAGATAGCTCGAGGCGCATATGGTGAAGTTACAAAAGCATACTGGCCAACCGCTGAGAAAACTGTTGCTTTAAAATCTTTATTTGATAATTACGATTCTGAAGCCGTAGATGATAAGGGTTTTGACGATTTTGTTAAAGAGGTTGGTTTTTGAAATACATTTATAAAGTCGCTTTCAATGTATTATGTGAATACTTATTTTATCTTTTTTTTTTACCGTTTTTGGTTCATTATTCTTTTTGTGAATGAGTTAGTTTAAATTGATTCGATCAGTACATTTTCATGATAATGTTATTCGAGTTTTTGGAATTAGTCAAGGTAAGCTCATTAATACTTCCATTTGTAAATTTCCATTAATAATACTTCTCTTGCAATTAATTAATTTTATTCTTCATGTATGATTATTTACATTTTTCATGTATGATAATTAAGATCCAGCCACATCAAGATATTTTATGGTATTACAATATGCAGATGGGGGAAGTCTAAGGGATTATCTTCAGAAAAATTTTAAAAACCTTGATTGGAAAAAAAAGTATTCCATGGGAAAACAAATTGCTAGCGGACTTAAATGTATTCATGATCGAAATATTATACATAGAGATTTGGTGACTATTTTTACTATTGTTTTACTAATTTATTATTTAAGAATGTATTCATTATTTTTATTTTCTTATTAATATTTGATTTTTACTGTTAGCATTCAAAAAATATATTAGTCAATCATGACCAACTGATTATAACTGATTTTGGCCTTTCTAAAGTAAGCGGTACTGGCTCAACATCTGTCTTGACCGGTATGTTTGCATATTTAGAACCACAATGTTTCATTGACCCTAAATACCAACGTGACAAAGCATCGGACATTTATAGCCTTGGTGTTTTACTTTGGGAAATATCAAGTGGTCGACCACCATTTGATGATCAAAATATTTTTGATATATCAAATAAAGTCAAAAGTGGAGAGAGAGAAAAACCGGTAGATGGAACACCGGATGATTATCGGAAGCTATATGAGAAGGCATGGAGTCAAAATCCGAAGGATAGACCAGATATTAATGAGGTTAAAGAGAAGTTGGAGGAGATGTTAGGTGAAGGTAAAAAGGGCGATAATTCGATCGGGTCTCTTACGAATAACATGAACGCATTGAACACTGCTTTGCCAAAATCACCATCCTTACCAAAGATTCCATTTAACCAACCAAACAATAATGCTAATAAACGGTTTTCTCAAAATAATGTTCCGCCAACTTATCAACCGGGAGGATTTAATCCAAACTTTGGTTATAACGGTCGTTCTAATACTGAACCAAATCTTATGCAAAATTATACTCCACAGCCAATTTATCAACCAATGACATCATACGCCAATAACAACGTTATACCTCAGCGTCCTCTAATACCTCAATACACTATGAACGAAGCTCATAACATTAACATGAACCAAGGAATGGTGGCAGCGGTTCAACAGCAACAATTTCCTAATAATGCTTCCAATGTAAAATATTCTTCTGGAATGAATAATCATTTTCAACAGCAACCTCTTTATCCCACTGTGAATGCTGGTCAATCACAAACATATCCTAACATTAACCAGCATTTAATGCCAAACAATTTTAATAATAATCAACAACAATTCAAACAAATCGTACATCCACCATCTAACATGAATGCTCAACCTATGACACCGTCTAACATGAATGCTCAACCTATGACACCGTCTAACATGAATGTTCAATCTATGACACCGTCTAACATGAATGTTCAATCTATGACACCGTCTAACATGAACGTTCAATCTATGACACCGTCTAACATGAACGTTCAATCTATGACACCGTCTTACAAGCCTATAAAACCATCTAACATGAATGCTCAACCTACAATACCATCTAACATGAATGCTCAGCCTATGATACCATCTAACATGAATGCCCAGCCTATGATACCATCTAACATGAATGTTCAGTCTATGACACCAACTAACATGAACGCTCAGCCTATGCCACCATCTAACATGAATGCTCAGCCTATGGCACCATCTAACATGAATGCTCAGTCTATGGCACCATCTAACATGAATGCTCAGTCTATGGCACCATCTAACATGAACGCTCAGCCTATGACACCATCTAACATGAATGCTCAGCTTATGACACCTTCTAACATGAGTGCTCAACCCGTGATAAATGTATCCACAATAAATACTCCACCACCTTTTCTACCATCAGTTCCTAATTCTGGGTATTCTAACAACAATACTACGAGTAATCTTAATCACCAAGTTTTGGGAAGTAATTTTAACCAACAAGTCATAGGAAATAATCAGTTTCCAGGAAGTAATTATAACCAGCAAGTTCCAGGAAATAACTTTAATCATCATTCATTCACTGGATGCGCACAAATACTAGAAAAATACGCTGTCAGCTACAAAACTGTGAAGCCTGCAAAATGCCATGCCGGCTATCACGCTGGATTAGGTGACATCGAGGGCTTAAAATATCACCTATCATGTGGTGAAAGTATTACTAGCACATATGAATTTAATGATACAGCCGATTATTTATGTATTATAGTTGCAAAGTTTTGTAGCGATATTAAAATGGTTGAAGAAATTTTTAATTTGTTAAGATATCCTTACGGTCCATTGAATGATCCTAATAATCTCTCGTGGATTTCAGTAAAGAACAATAGAACGGTGTTACATTATTTAACCACAAATAAAAATTTAACAAGTGATATAGATGTTTCAAAAGAAAAAAAGAAAACAGCAGATGCAGATGAAGTTTCAGAAGGTCAAAGGAAAATGGATAGGTTTCATCATCATATTAAGAAAGTGATAGAATTTTTAGTTGTTAATGGATGCGATATAAATACAAAGGATGAGAAAGGATACACTGTTTTGAGTCTTTATTTGACAAAGACAGCTTTTCAGGCTGGATTCACAAGAGTTATTGAAATACTATTGAATAACGGTGCAGATCCAAATGTTAGCATTACCATTAAGAGTAGAAGTCTTAGTAAAGGATCTAGTGCGAAATTTGAAATACCCAATATGACGAGCAACAACGGAAGTACGAATAATCCTGGGGCAGCAGAGGGATATATTACGTTTCCAAACATGTTATTCTTGGCAATCTGGTACAGATGGCCAACTAGAATTCTCAATTTATTAAAAGAACATAAGGTGGATATAGATAAAGAATACGAGAATTTAGATAATTTAGGTAATCTGTTGAAAATGTGTTTACAAAAGTCAAAAAATGGAAAAAATAATCAAGTTAGTTATATAGATGGATTAAAATGGGTATTGAATAATGTACCAAATGTATGCACTAGCGAGAATCTAATAGCAGTAAAAAAACTCACAGAAAAGGATAGTGAAGAACGGAAAGTGATCAAAGAGAAAATAGGGAAGAAGAAGTGGAAGTTGTTTTAATTTGAAATCCAAAAAAAAAAAAAAATGTACATTTTTTAGAAAGATTGTTTTTGCTCAACCGATTTATAATATGTATTTTTTTAACACAACATATATTTATTAATATTTATATTTCAAAGTAATTTGGCAGTTTTTTTTTTACATTGAAACTTTTTTTCGTGTTCAAAATTTGTTTATTTTATAAGATCCATTATAAATAAAAAATTTGAACTCTAACATTAGTCGGTTGAAGCTGAAGGAGGGAAATAAAAACTTTTGAACCTTACAAAATCATCGAACGCTCGGCTTCCTGTTCGACTGATCCTGATTTAGCATCCAGAAATATAACCTAAATTAGAACCAATGTTTGGATACCAAAATCTTGGTTTAAAATATGTGGTTTAATTTAATAAAAAAAGGTTAAATACTTAATCAATAAAGATATGTGTAATAGTCATCTTAATTCTAACGATTGAATTTAATAAAATTGAATAATAAACAAAATATTTATATTATTGTGCTTTTCGAATCGCTGCGATCAGCAAATTTCATGTATTATAGGGTATATCGATATGATTAAAATTTTGATTGATTTTTTAGCCAATCACATAGTGGCTGATCACAGTAATTTGAAAAGCCACGCCAAGTTAAAACTATGTTTAACATAACCCTCCTCTCTCTTTGGGCCTCAAATATAGGGGGTAAAACAACATCACTTAATATAAAAATCATATTGACTTCAAAAAAAATTTTTAGCCAATCAAAATCTCATGTTTTTTTTACCCCCCTCCCTCGTTTAGACTTGTCGATCATTTCATTAGTGCAATTTTAAATATATAATCAACTTGGAATGACCTAATTATCATTATGGGTGAAACACGCAATAGAATTCTGCACGTTATTGATGCAGATTATTATCTAAACCTATTGGCTTATTTGCATAATATTTTGAAAATGATCTCCAAATTTGTACAACAGGCTGTACCAATCAGATTTATTTATGTGATTATTAAGAATGCTGATATATACAAAAATATCCAAACAATTATTCTTTTTAGAAAATTATTGGTTCTTTTAGCTTATCAAAATACTTGAAAAAGAGGTTTGCAATAAGTTAGTAATGTGTTCTTGCCAACATGAATAGGTGTTAAAATAATATTTGCATATACTTAATACTTGATTTTTTTTAAAACTAGCTTTTTTGAAATTAGGTTTTTTATTCAGTATTATAGAACACGGGTTTATGATCAAAAGCTTCAAAGAAGTCATTTTACATTAAAAATTATAACTAGTTACATGTATATTTTTGGTGTTTAATTTAAGTAGTCTGCTTATAGAAATTTTATACTAATTGTCATATCTGCAATACAATTATAAGTATTGTTTATTAAACCTTTTATATTGCAATCTTTACTATTTCACTAAAACATTTCTAATATTCATATGTTTACTTATATTTTTAAAATGCTCATTTTAGTTATTTTTAAAATATTATTATTAAAGTTTTTTATAGTCAATTTTTTAATTAATTTAGTTTTTAATTTTTGTAAAGTTTGTATAATCTTAGTATTTTTTTTTACAACTTAAAAACCTTTTTAAACTACTAGTCCAGTTAGCTTTATCTAATACGTACTTAAATTAATAAATAATTAAATAATTAAAAATTTTAAAAATAATATTGTTAGAAGTTATACTATCTTTTTACTTAGAATTATAAGCAAACTTCTTATTTGAATATATATTTTTTAAATTTATTTATATAATATTATATATTTCTAAAGTTAGTTTGAATATAATTAGAATTACAAAATTATAAATTTCAAATTATAGATAAGTTATTAAAAAAAGTAAGATTATTTTTTTAATTTTATTACTAATATAATTTAAATTTTGAACCTATTGCTTAAAAAATAATAACCTAACTATTATATTAGTAGTATTATTTTTTTTTAAAACTTGATTTATTTTTTTTATATTAAACTAGTCTCTTTTGAGACTGAAGCTTTTTATTTAGTATTTTTGAATATAGTAACTTTTTGCTAAGACCTTTATAAAGTTATTCTTATATTAAAAAATACAACTAGTTATATGTACATTTTTGGTATCTAATTTAAGTAATCTGCTTATAGTTCTATATTAGTTATTATACTTGCAATTTAACTACAAGCATTGCCTATTTAATTTTTTTGTATAATAATTTCTATTATGTTACTGAAGTATCTTTGATATATATATTAATTAAAAAGTTTTAAATGCTTATCTATATTCTTAAAACACTATATCTTATTTTTATACAATACATTTTCAAAGACATTATTACTAGAGCTTTTTATATTTTACATACAGTTGATCTAGTTTTATACAATATGTTATAGTAGAACTAACATTTGCAATTACAAATATTCTGTTAAATTACTATATTACACTATTTCTATTTTTGTAAAATTTATCTAAATCTTAGTATCTATCTTTTTAACCTTTTTTTTATTATTCTTTATTAATTTTCTTATATAGTATTAATTAAATTCTGCTAAACTACTAATTCAAATAACCTAGTATAATATTTTTATTATCTTTTTTTTAATGAAATTTAGCAATTTGGTTGATTATATGCTTTTTTATACATTTTGTTATTTAGTTTTTAAAATTTTTTTGATATGCATAGACTTTTATTAGTTTAATAATATTATTAAAGTTTATAGTATCTTTTTACTTAAAAATTTTTAAATAAATATATGTATTTTTTTTTTTTTTTTATAATATCAAGTAGGAAAAATAGTAATACATAAGTATATTAATTAGATATAAATATATAAATAAAATATTCAGGGGTGTGGCAATCTAGTGAAGTGGTCAGGTTGTCAACCTCTCAAGTGGTAGATTGGGTGTTCAAATCCCATTGATAGTAAAAATTTGGATAATTACCTATATAATATTTATATTATAGCAACTGTTACTAATGTTTAGATTAGGATACTAGCAATAGTAGTCATACTAGCATGACTGGCAGGTCATGGGGCATTTGTGCAATGTTGGAGTTATACAAAGAAATGCAAACTGACAAATTGGGTAGTGCATACACTAGATAAGTCCTTGTAGCTGTGTAAGTCTATTGAAATTAGATAACAAGAAGTCTATTTAAAAAAACTCAAGTAGAAAGGTAGCTGAATCTTTGATGGCCCTACTGTAAAGACTAGTCTGGTAAAATGGATATCAAGGTCTAGTACATAGTCATAGTAGCCAGATAGGCAAGAACCTCTGAGTTGGAAGTCTTGAAGATACCACCAACCAGGCCATCAAAATGAACTAGAGTAAAAGAATATTAGATTAATCTGATATACTGATGGACTCATCATAGTCCTACATGGGCTATCTGAATTGGAAGTTTAATAAAAAGGCAGGTAAAAAGGCAGAAGTATACTAAAGTACCAGAGTTATACTATGAACTAGATGCTGGGGTCTAAGTGAACTCTACAAAGACATAGCAGTTTAATAGTTAAGTTCTAAATACAAGTATTGGTTTTGCTATAGCAATACCTAGATCATCTGTAAAAATAAGTACAAAAGGCTCTAGAAGGTTTATCTTAAAGATAAATTAGTACTAAGATTAAGATGATGATCTGGGCATCTAGGTATGACCCAGTGAGTTAATACATGTTACAGATTACAGGTTCAAAAAGTTTAAAGTAGAACACCCAAACGAAAATATTAGATATACCAATTGGTAGAAAACCTTTGAGTAAACTTCTTAAATAGGTAATATAGAAAAGTTATACATGTAGCCAATTGTACTCTCTTCTGTAGTGGTTCATTAAATCACATTATCAATTAGTGATTAATAAAAGTCAAAAAACCAAAAAGGTTATCTTAATACCAAAAAAAATAAATAAAATATTTTTAAATTATACTATTGTTATTATATACTAATAATATTTAGCATAATATTAATCTTTAATTTTTTGTTTTTAGTTAAATTAACTATTATAATTATTAACTACAGAAAAAAGTAAAAGGAACCCTTAGGATTATTTTAGTCAATAAAAGTAGGTATATATTGTAAAATTTTGAGAAAGAGTTTTAAGAATGAATTGGTTTATATTAGTATTAAATATGAATATATTGTTATTAGAGTTAGAAATTTGTATGATAGATAATCAAGTATTGTTTTTTTTTTAGTAAAAACAGTAATTCTTTATATTGATTTTCATTTATGTTATTTGGTGTTTTAAGTTTGCCAAATAGTAAAATTAAACCAGTTAAGTAGAAAGTTTGGATAAGAAAAAAAGAAAATTAATAGTTAGTTTTTTTAGAGTTAGTTGTATTAGTCAAAAGTTATTGTATTCTGAATAAGTAAAAATATTATATTATATATATTAGAATTTAAAAAAAGATTTTGTAGATTTAAGATTTGCATTATTGTATGTAGTAAAGCTTTTAAGAGGTTTAAAAAGTTTAAGATGTTGGTAATTTTATTGATAAGAATGTTTTGTGAATTGTGAGAATGAAGTAAGCATTAAAGTAGATGTTTAGTATTTTTATACTGGTTACAATATGAGCAGTTTTGAGTTAAGTATAGTAGAGATAGTAAATATTAAATTTGACATTGTTGATAAATTATTCAAAACTACTTTATTTCTAATAGAATAAAGATTTGAATTAGAATTTTGAAAGTTAATAATTTCAGTAAATAGTAAAATGTTAATAATAAGAAGGTTTTATAGTAGCTTAAGTTGAAAAAGTTTATTAAATATTTAGATAAAAAAGAGGTTTTTGTAGAATTTATAAAGTTTGTATGTAATTGATATTTCTTTCCAAGTAAAAAAAATAGATAAATAAAAATAGTTAAGATTAAATTTTAGTTCAGTTTTTTTGGCATCATGTTTGGCTAAAATGTCAACTATATTATGAAGAGTGTTGTTTGAATGTGATTTGACTTTGTATATAATATAGTTAATGTTTTTGAGTTTGATTAGATAATTTAAAATATGGATAATATTCTAATTGTTTTGTTTAGTTTAGGA